AATCTTCAATCTCTAACCCACTTTAAAAATTGGATTTAGGAATTGAACGGCGTTTTAATTCCCTCATCTTTTCCACTTTGTCTTCGTATTCTGTTGAATGCTTTATGTTCCTACATATACTTTTTGTGGGCGATCAGTGAAATGAGGGAATATTTTGGCCTGTTCTTCGCAGGGAAGATTTACACTTGGGTCAGAAGAAATGAACAATATCGCCCGCGTGAATATTTTTATAGTTTGAGAAACATCAAAAAATTGTGATTGCAGGTCCAAATGTGTAGATTGTTTTGTGGGTATCACGTGGAAAACTTATCCATTTGTCTTGATTGAGCTGAATCAAGAGAACGCAAGTTCTCTTGGCCGAAGAGATGGAGTAATATGGATTATTACACAAGCGATCTCATCATGATGGCGAAATAGGACTTTGAAGTCTTTCCTTTATGAGTTTGAACAAATGTTTGAGAAAATCGAGTCGAGCCTACGATTCTGCTGCCTCTGGCTTGAGAATATTCTTACATTATAGATTTCACCATTTTGCATGTCATAGTCTTCAGCTCACTTGACTTTCGGGCCAACTGAACTGTGCGTTTACTATTTGCATTTTAAACGACGTAGCTTTAATGGAACGAAAAAAGTGAGAATGGAAGAACGTACCCACGAATGAACTGTTGAACGGTTCAGTTCAGTATCAATTCAAGTAAGATTCCATGACAGCTTTTAAGACTTTGGTTTCAGTCAAATTAGCGGAATAAATCACAGGATCCGGAAAGAGGGAAGGATGGGCCCATGCCTGTTCGACGTCTGAGGTCATTTTTGTAAACAGGAATTCGTTATTTTTCCCTTTTGCAACAGGCAGTGGCGTGAGCCTTGTTCACTTAAACCGGCCGTCATTTATCATAGTGGCACGTGCAGGCCCAACTAATTGACCCATTGTTTGCATCGTTACCTTTCGCCGTAAAGTGTTTGATATGTACTGAGATTTATTCGCTGGCAGAATGCCTTGGTTAACAGGAAACACTCAATTCACAAAGTCACAATTCGTTTTCAAACAAAAGCAGAAACATAGACTGATTGAATTTACAACTTCTTGCAAAATCATGACAAGAATGCAACCATTTTCTCTTCCACGGATGAAGCCGAACAGAAGGAATGCATCGTCACTTAAGCAAGATAGAGCGCGCCTCTTCACTAAAGTTCTTGATCTTGAGCACAAGGAACGTGACGGAATGAGAGACTTCGTAATTTTTGCAATGCTCAAAGCGGAGCGTTCAATGCGTTTGCCTTGCTGACTAAACCGAAGGTCACCAGAAATATCACAGCTGAACACTAAGGTGCAACGTTCTCGCCAGACGTTCAATTGAATGCTTTGTTTCATTTTTTAATTGCGCCGTCTTAAGAAGTCGTTAATGAAAAAAATGAGGATACACAGAGAAACTGCCCCATATCAAGAAAGAGACTGAAAGGGAAATCCAAAGACCAGTAGCAGTGACAATCATATGCGGCCGACAATGTCAATGTTTAAAGCGATTCACAGAAATGGTTAACCCTTTAACCCCTAAGACGGACAAGCATGTAATTTCTCCCAACAGTATCACTTCTGAATTACACATTAAGGTCATGAGAATAAAGATGATGGTCACCAAATATAGAAGCTCTTGATTGTTAAATGAATTCTCCTTGTCAGCACCTTAGAAATTGTATCGAGAACTGTATGGAGAATGTGCATACTGATTTTAGGGTGTAAGGAGTAACTGTTAATTATCTATTTTCTGTATGAGGGCTGTCAGACTTATACCTGATTGAGATAAACTCATTTAACAAATCAGACACATTTTTATTCTGTTTTACACAAATTGATTACATGAAGGTGTCGACTTCTCAGCGTCTACATGTGAAGATCGAACTAAGCCTTCTTTGAGCTGTGTCTCAGGTTGTTCTAATTATCAAGAGGCTGTCCTTTCGCCCTCAAGCCTGCTTGTGTAAAACAGCAATACCATCTTCCATTCACAATCCCTGGTTAAAAAATATTTTAACTGATCAGTAAAAGCGAAGCAAAGAAGTCGTTGAACAAATCTTAACGATCCTATAACTAATCAACTTTATATGAAGGATAACTTAAGAAGCGTGAAATGCAAAGTCAATTTTACCTTCCTGTCATTATGAGTTTTTTCAACATCGGACGGAACACTTTACGTCGGGAAATACTAAAAGGAACGAGCCTGATTGATTCTTACGGTCGTTTCTTCATAATGCATATTTCTTTAACTGACACCATCTCTAGCTACTAAATCATAAACTTAAAATGTCGTACTTGTAACAGTTTATCAGTGGCTATGATTGCATATGTGACGTGAGAAATAACTTCATAAATATCAATTATCGAAGAATGATCAGTTCCTCATTGAAGCTGAATAAAATAAGGATAAGATCTGAATAACAAACCTAATGTGCGTTTCTCTCTGGAGAAGCGACCATTATTATAGGTTTTCTCTATGTGAGCTCTTTGGTCTCTTGCCTTCCAGTCGTTCCACCAAGCAATTATTGCCTCGTTCTCATAATAATAATCAGAGATACTGTCCAAGGCTAAGAATATTAAAAATAAATGCGTAGATAAGAAACTTGAAAAGTTAATAAAATATTGACGTTATCTTTTCAGAATACCGCAATCATTCGTTTAAAGCAATTCAAGATATATCACTTTGTGGAGTAGTACTGTTTTCAAAGCTTACTATTTCGAACTTTCCTGTAACTCGAACTTGAAGCCTCGTTCCAAAGCTTTCTCAGCAATTTTGGTCTGATTTGACCTGGTAACTAACTCAATCAACACGAGTCTTTCTCACAAGGTTATCCCTTTACCTCGAAGTAGCATCAAGCGAGAGCAAATAAAACAAATGTTTATTACGAGTCTCCATCCCCATAATGGCATGGAATGCTCTGTTTCCTTAGTAAAATTCCACCTGCCTCAAATGGCACCTATTTAGACTCGCCGCAACCACAAGAAATCTTTGCGATTTGACATTGTTGTTGCGGTATTTCTACTCAGTACCTGAAATGAACCTGTCAATCCAGTATCTTAATAGGTATTCGATATTTATATGGGAATGAAATCCCGGACAGCAACTGCGTTACTCGAGCAACTATCAACATTGTGTTAAGCTTCCATATAAAAAGACACCCCGAGGAATCTAATTTGCAATCTTCCACTATACTGAGCACCAACCTTTCGTTCCAGTTTCTATCGCCTGGTTTAGAACTGCGAGTCCTGCTTGAGCTCCTGCCATAATGACTGTTCTCTATTTCCCAATACTTCTTACAAATAAGTCTATTAAAAAGATTGTCCAGTGTAATAAATTTCTGAATCAATACCTGCAACCCGCTAAATTATTACAAAAGGGATGTGTTTTTACACCAGAAATGCGGCGAAGGGTTGTGTTGGGTGAACGATGAAAGTAATAGTCAAGAGCAGCCTAATGCTTTTGTCTATCATTTGAAAGACGAGCAAGTTAGGAGTAGAACTCAAAACTAAAAATTATTACAAAGTAAAAAATGGGCCTTATCTTTTACCGTGTCTCAAGTAACCATCGAATTTTTTTAGCAAAGTAAGCCGTTCGTGGCTTATAAACTTTCAATCAGGATCTAGATGTCAAGATGCCAATCAAATCAAAGATTGTAATAAATGATCGCCGAAAATGAAGAATGGGTGGGCCCATGCCTGTTCGATGTTTAAGGTGATCTTTGAAAACAGGAAATTGTATACTAAAATAGAAACGGGAAAGAAGAATTAAAATACTAAGATTCCACTGAAAACTAGATCAAGAAAAACAAGATGCTTTGTGCCAGCTCAACTGTGCGACGAGACTTTTGTTATTTATGAGCAGTTTTATATTTAGTGAAGAGTTGTTCTCTAAGAAATTACAGTGAAGATCACTTAAATACTTTGGTATTTCCATCGATTTTAGATGTTTTGTGAAAGTACAAAGAACAATTGCTGGGTAAGTCCTTAGTGAAAACAAATCTAATGAATTTGCTTGTTAGGACTGGCCACTGCAAAACAATGGCATATTCCTCTAATTGATAATATTGATTTGGCTTTGTATGTCGTACTGATTGACAGAACTCAATAACATCCTTTTAGAAACATTTATTTCCTCATTGGAGCGGATGAACTGAAATGTGAATCATTTCTTAAAATCGATGGAAATTATGCAATGAAGGGCCGGAATGTACGACTAATTGCGGTCGAGCTAACAATAACCTTTCAAATGACGTGTGCCTTAGATATATTGTCGAATATCACAATTTGCACTCTGGCATGCAACGTGAAGACGTTCAATCGTTTGCTTGCAGTTTCTTATAATTGGAACACTTGATTTTGTTCTTTCGTGAAACTAGTCCTTGTCGTGGATAAAAAAATCTCACCCCACGTTAAAAATTGGATTTAGGAATTGAACAGCGTTTTAATTCCCTCATCTTTTCCACTTTGTCTTCGCATTCTTATGAATGCTTTATATTCCTACATATACTTTTTGTGGGCGATCAGTGAAATGAGGGCATATTTTGGCCTGTTCTTCGCAGGGAAGATTTAAACTTGGGTCAGATGAAATGAACAATATCACCCGCGTGAATATTTTGTTTATGAGCAATTTTATATTTAGTGAAGATTTGTTCTCTAAGAAATTATCGTGAAGATCACTTAAGCACTTTGGTTTTTCCATCCCCTTTAGATGTCAAAGTACAAAAACAATTGCCGGGTAAGTTCTTGGTGAAAACAAATCTAATGAATTTGCTTGTTAGGACTGGCCACTGCAAAACAATTGCATATTCGTCTAATTGATAATATTGATTTTGCTTTGTATGTCATACTAATTGACAGAACTCAAGAACTTCCCTCTAGAAACATTTATTTTCTCATTGGAGCGGATTAAATGATGAATCATTTCTTAAAATAGATAGAAATTATGCAATGAAGGGCCGGCTTGTACTTGTTATATAGTGCAGTTTGATGAGCGGGCAGGTATTCCGGCTGAATAATCCCCTTGCAAAAGCTCAGGACGTTCTTCACGATTGCAACATGGATAAAATCTTTAAAGGGCTTGGTATGTTAGCAACAGCAAAATCTTGTATCTTTCAGCTGCATGCATGGTCACATGTTATTATTGAGTGCTGTCCGTGGTCAATAAAAAGACAATCATTTTCTTAGGTACACAAGATTATACGATGAAATGAAAGAAAAGAACACAAGACTCGCGCACTGGTGGTCTCTAGTTTACGCCCTGAACCACGCTTGTACAGAGTATTTATCGGGATACTTTGAACTTGAAAAAAAATTCGTTCCATTTGAAAACTTTAGTTGATTTTGTACCGAACAATTTTTGCAGGTGTTGTAACTGGAAAATGCTACAACATGCATCAGGATTGGTCAAAGGCCCCAGAATGGGTGAAGGAACATTACAAGATTGAGGAGCAACAACATTGTGGTGATATTAGTGAGTATAGCACTACTGGTTTATCTTGTTTAGGTAAAAACATCTATCATCAGAGCATTAAAAGTGAAGTTGCTGAGGCGCTAGCACCCAAACAGATTTGTTTTTCTGCCCACCAATGACTTCTTAACCTAAATAGTAAATGTAAATTTATTATTTAATTGGCATAACTTAGCTTTTGAATGTCTTAAATTCAGCCACTCTTCCACAAGGCGCTGTGAAGGGAGTGGTTGAGGCGGTCGGTGTATTTGCCAAGGAAAATCCACACGACGTAGCTCTGATGGGTAAGAAGATCGCCAAGACTGTAGGAATTACAGAGCAACAAGGGTTGGCGTTTTCTTCTGGATTCCTTCAAACTGCAAACTTGAGCCAAAAATGAGTAAAGTGTCATACGATTTTAGCGGTTACATCTCGAGCTCACTACCTGATATAACAACTATTTGTTTACTATAGTCACAGTGCTAAACTATTGCAAGTAAAAGTAAATGGATTGAAGTGTACTAGCCATAAGGAGCCAAATTTTAATTTTTGAAACAAGAATCTCGGCACCAATTTAGGATATTTTGCAGATAATATATCGAAAGTGTAATGCAAACCCAATCTCTTAATGAACACTTTCTTTAGCAATCAACAGTCAGCCAAACGAGAAAATGTAAAAATGTAACTTCAGCGTATGTATATTAAAGTTCAGCGTATGAGGTTATCACGAGCCAACCTGGTATATGTTTCTGATCTCAGGAATGAAAGAGACACTTATAGGAATATTTTGTGTGTTTCTTATTCTTGCCGTCTCTGTCTCTGTTGACAACGCCAATTCCTTATTGTGCGATTAATCAGAGAGAGCCACTTTAACTTAAACTGCAACATTTTTCCAAATCAATAATACGATTACGAAAGGGTTTGCTTGACGTTGTATCGGGTTCCCGGCGACTAATTGCGGTCGAGCCAACGTTTTTGAGCATAAACACTTTGAAAGGTAAAATAACACTAAGAGTGATAATTCTCAGAAATTAACCAACGACAGTTCTCGGTTTGTTTCGGTTAGTCAAATCAAAGGAAAAATCATGCCGTCTTTACCCGCTAAACCTGCGTCTCCTAAGCAGTGTAAAAAGAAACAAAATCCGAGAAATGTGACGGGTATGAGTTTATTTGACAAAGCAAGAGTGGAAGTCCTTCACTTAAACATAACTACTGTTGATAAGAAAGATGTTGACCTTCGTCTTAATTTGATTGACGAAGTGTTTCTGTTGACTGAAAAGTCAGTTCCAAGCCCAAAATAACCTTTCATATTGACGTGTCCCTTCCTCACTCAACCGATTGTCAAATATCACAACAAACTCTGACATGCAACGTGAAGGCTAGACGTAATCGGCTTCTTGATTTTGTGCTTTTGTGCGATGCATTTTGTAAGATGCTTTTCCTTGTCGTGCGATAATCTTCAATCTCTACCCCACGTTAAATAATTGGATTTAGGAATTGAACGGCGTTTTAATTCCCTTATCTTTTCCACTTTGTCTTCGTATTCTTTTGAATGCTTTATGTTCCTACATATACTTTTTATGGGCGATCAGTGAAATGAGGGAATATTTTGGCCTGTTCTTCGCATGGAAGATTTACACTTGGGTCAGATGAAATGAACAATATCGCCCGCGTGAATATTTTTATAGTTTGAGAAACATCAAAAAATGGCGAAATAAGATAAGTCTTTTCTTTGTAAGTTTGAACAAATGTTTGAGAAAATCGAGTCGTGCCTACGATTCTGCTGCCTCTGGCTTGAGAATATTCTTACATTATAGATTTCACCATTTTGCATGTCATAGTCTTAGCTCAGTTGACCTCCGGGCCATCTGATGAAGCCGAACTGTGTCGTTTATCATTTAAAGTCTTGATCTTGAGCATAAGGAACGTGACGGAATGAGAGACTTGGAAGAATGCTACCGGACGAATGAATGTTGAACTGACTCGAATTCAAATCGATTCAAGCTACGATTCTGCTGCCTCTGGCTTGAGAATATTCTTACATTATAGATTTCACCATTTTGCATGTCATAGTCTTAGCTTGGTTGAACTCCGGGCCATCTGAACTGCGCGTTTACCATTTGTATAACTTTAAGGGAACGGAAAAAGTGAGAATGGAAGAACGTACCCACGAATAAACTGTTGAAAGGCTCAATTCAATATCGATTCAAGTAAGATTCCATGACAGCTTTTTAGACTTTGGTTTCAAATTAGTGGGATAAATCACAAAGTCTGGAGAAAGGGAAGGATGGGCCCATGCCTGTTCGTTATATTTCCTGTTTGCAACAGAGAATTGCGTGAGTTTGATGGTGAGGCCTGACTAATTGACCTATTTTTTGCATCGTTGCCTTTCGCCCTAAAGTGTTTCATATGCACTGAGATTTATTCGCTATCAAAATCCCCAGATTAACTGGAAACACTCTAATCACAAAGTCACGATTCGTTTTCAAACAAAAGCAGAAACAAAGACTGATTGAATTGACAACTTCTTGTTTTAATCATGACAAGAATGCAGCCATTTTCCCTTCCACGGAAGAAGTTGAACTGAAGGAATGCATCGTCACTTAATCAGGAGTGCGGCTCTTCGCTAAAGCTTTTGATCTTAAGTACAACAAGTGCCTTTGTATCTGTAAATCTTTGTTTTAGGTTGTTTTTATTCCTTGTAAGAACTTTGCTGCTGGTAAATGACTTCATTTACTTGTACTTGGAATACTATTGGTCAACTCACAAGGTAAAGAAAAGCACTAATGGGAAGCTTTTTGGTTTGATTCAAACACCGCTTTGAATGGTAACATAGAAACAAAAATCGATTTTAAGAATAAAAAAATTTTTTTAACTGTTGTAAAGGATAGATAATAAACAGGTTGATTAATCCTTTGACCCTCAAAAGTGACCAACGTCTGATTTCTCCTTACAATATCATCACTAAATCATACATGAGGGTCACGGGAATAAAGTTTATGATCACCAACTATAGAAGCTCTTGATTGTTAAACAAATTCTCCTTTTCAGCTCCTTAGAGAATGTATAGAGAAGCGTAAGGAGAATATACATGTTGATGTTAGGGTGAAAAGAGTTAACAAGTGCTATAGCAAAGAAGCCAGTGATGAGTATCAGTGTCCCAAATGAGGTCATCAAAGGTGAATACTAAGGAAGCTGATAGTCGAAATAAAATTTTGAGTCTTGATAGAGAGGAGGAAAATTATTTGAAAGCGTCTTTTCGTATTGTCTCGCACGAAAGAGGTCAAAATTCTCTGTAATTAATACTGCGACATAAAGACGCTTGCCCTGTGATTATTCAAACTATTCAACCTTTTTCTCTTCTTTCATCTGTGCCCATATAAAGTATACATTGAAAAGCCAAGTGGTTTTTTAATAAATATTTGTGATAGATGGATTTTGTTGGCGAATGACAAAAAACTTTTGCCTCAGAGGGGTCTGGTAAGCTGTGTGATTCAAGTGGGGGTTTGGCAAAAGCATTTAGTTCTGAGGTGTTCCGCTTCGATCGCTTCTGCTCCTAGACATGAACAAAGCGAAGCAAATAAAACAAAGCATTTTTTAATATTAAAAAGGATCACCGTAATTTTATTACCTTAAAACAATCCATAAGAACATTTGGTCACAGAATCAATGGTAAATACATTCATGAAATAAAAACCATAGTTTAGATCTTACCGATAGCTACAAGGACTTACTCCAGCATACAAATTAATGCACAGATTGGAAGTAAATGTGACCTATCGACTAATTAATTTTATCTTATTTACTTAAGTTTACTTATTTCCTTAGTGCCCTGATTAAGAAAATCCGGTTTGGGAGACTTAAGGCCTAAAAACACAGTACAGACATACATGCAAACTTTAACGATCAAAGTGAGAACCAGTTTTATTGAAAATAGTCGATTCTGGACTCATTATAGCGATATATATTGTACACTGCTCAAAAACTAATGACATGAATCACAATTTTGAATAGGTGATGAACAGTTATTCAAATGAACTTGAGTGGCTTTGAATGATCATCGCTCTGTTTAAATGACTCTTATAAGAATCTAATCAGGCCACAAATGATAGAAACCAAGTTACAAATCCTTTTATGATAATAAAACACTGTTAACAAGATATAAGCTTTAAAAGTAAAAGTGTCCCTCGCCCGTTTTACAGTCATTCCACATTCTTGTTTTGCTATCTTCCTCTATTTTCAGGTGGTTAAAATTCAGGTGCAACACAACATTATCTTTGACTTTCTTCAACTTTGGCTTATGTTCACTTTTCCAGCATTTTAGCCATGTATCTGGTCCAACAGTACAAAACGCGCAATTGGAGTTTTTCTCGACGAATTTGCCAGCTTTTCGATAGGCTTCCTGTATTCCGTCCTTAACGTAGTTTTCCTCTAAGCTCGGTGCACCGCACTGGTCCGGTGCATAACCAGGAAACCAAGCTTTGTATGAGGACGAACAGTTACCCATTCTCGATATCGTCGACGGTCAGAATCTGTTTGGCTAACAGGTTAAAAATTATAAGTTGGCTTTTTTCGGGGTAGTCTCTGTACTACTTAAATGCCAAATTTTTTATGTGGCTTTACAAAAACGATTGCTGATTGCGTTTTGTTTACTTCAGTCTTCCCTTAAGCGAAGATAAGATCCTAAGAAAATATTTTATCTAATTCCCCCCTTCTGATAATGAGAAATCCAGAGCAAGTTAATCTGTAAATCAAACATTGACATCGATCGCCCCAAATGTTTCATGAACAGCGCCACATTATTCTCGGTAAAATATTACGTGATAGATCTGTTTTGGTGCAAAAAGGAAATCGTCATTTGTCAGAAAATTATTTTGTTTGAAATGTATTTGCTATTCTTACAAAAACAGAATTTACCTTAATAGAAGAAGGTCTCAGGCTCTCTGAACACTCGACAGATTTGACAGCAACCCTCCAATTGCGCAATTTAAAATAGAGGTATTTATGATACGCTCCCTCTTTGGCACTCTTTGGCACTCAAGGGTAACTGATGTTCCAAGGCTTTAAGTGTAGGTTATATCTGAGAATTTTGAGCATTAATAGTGAATGACATCTGTCCATCACTAGCCACAAATCATTTGTCAATGCTAGTCTATTATACCTGATGAGTTTTGACCTTGATTTGATGAATAACAAGATACTTGAATTTGTGTTCAAGGCAACAATATTTTTCCTCATCAGAAGCGGACGTAAATTCCACGACGAATGGGCTTGTTTGACGCAACTTCTGTTCTCGAGTTGTCTTTAAAATATTGAATAGATTGAATAGATTGAATAGATTGAACAGATTGAATACAATATTTGCTAAAAGTTGTTTTTTTCCCCTTGTTTAGCGGTTTTAATCATTAAATGTCCTCTATTCCTAACGTGTGGAAAACCTTTTTTTTGATAAGAAGCCTAACATTAAAAAAACAGTCAGACTATCAAAATGTTGACAAGGAATTTAAGAAAAAGAGGCCTTGAAAGCAATAAGCTAGAAGTTGTTGTTGTGAAAATTTACATACCATTAACCGAAGTAAAAAATAACTCCAAGCAAAGTGACCATCAAGAAATGGAGCTCACTTTAACTGATCAAACTTAAGAAAAATTGGGACTTTCTTCACTAGATTACTCACAACCGTTGTGGAAACCCGCCCATTACGTATTAAGA